CAAGTTCAGAAAACCCAAGTAACTGTCAGGTCAGGAGTATGGTCTTCATGATCATCCTGCTACTGGTAACATGTAACCCAGTGCAACATGTTCCATGTTCTGCTGCCTTACAGGATTTGCTTTCTAAGCAAAGGCTGGAAGGAGTGTTCTTCCTGTCATCAGTACTATCTTATATCTGTCATGCCTATAGTAATTTTTTTTTTTTATATATATATATAGTTGGAGGTGCCTTAGTTACTGTATTAGCTCACCTGTAATCTACGTTATATGTATGTTTGTGTTCTGTCTGAACATCTGGCGCGGTGTTCGCTCACCTGTAAGTTACTTTATGTTCTTTATGTATGTCTGTATTCTGTCTGAACCTCTGGCGCGGCGTTCGCTCACCCGTAAGTTACTTTATGTTTATGTTTATATTTTTTATGTTTTTTTTATGTATGTTTGTGTTCTGTCTGAACTTCTGGCATGGTGTTTGCTCACCCAAAAGTTACTTTATGTTTTTTATGTATGTTTGTGTTCTGTCTGAACCTCTGGCACGGTGTTGACTCACCCGTAAATTGATTTATGTTTGTTTGTGTTCTGTTTATACTCTAATGCAGCGTGAGCTCAGTAACTAACTACTTACTCCAACTACAAAACCTATACTCACCTTAGACTCCTGTATTTTGTTAGATGCAGTATTTTTCCTAATGCACTTCCAAAATATCATGCTTGGTTTTCTCAAAGTACTGTTGCGGGAAGTAAATCCTTTTAACTACTCCAGGTCAGGTCAGGATAATCGAGATCAATCTTGCTACTGGTATCACGTAACCCAGTACGACCTGCCACAAGCCATGCTGCCTTGCAGAGTGTGCTCTTCTTAGGCAAAGGCTAGGAGAAATAAACTCCGACTAAAAATTCCCCTGCCTTAGGGCTCTTGTTGAGTAAAGGCTAGAGATGGTGTCTCGATAAAAACACTCATCTTGGGCAGATGTTAACTGCATCCAGCTAAACATCCCCTACCTTAGGGCTCTTGGTTGAGTAAAGGCTAGAGATGGTGTCTCGATAAAAATACTCATCTTGGGCAGATGTTAACTGCATCCAGCTACTGTCTTGTAGAAGGCCTCCTAGGCAAAGACTTTAGGGGTAAGCAGAAAAATTTTGCTAACCAGCCTCGAACCCCTTCTTCATCTATTAGGCTTGCGTAGATGTAACCTGTGTTACATTGTTTCCTGCCTTGGATGATGAATGCTGGATCTCCTTGACTCCACTCATAGAATTTTGTTTATACCTCCTTGATAATGGCTATGCAACTCTTCCTGCTATCTCCATATGAGGGTACAGCTCTAAAACTCAGTTTAATGGTTCTGAGGCCGGCTGATAGTAAGGTTTCCCGAACTCTGTGGTAGCTCTCAGAGAGGCTGATTCCATCAACAACTGCAAAATATCAGAGTATTAACAGTGCCATGTTGCGCATGGATGGTGTCCCTGTTAATGCTTTTGGTGTGCATTGTCAAGGCCACATAAGGAGCCCTATGTCACGGCTTAGGGTTAATTAACTGGACTGAGACAACTGCATAGCTCATTGATTAGGAGGCTGTGCTCTATCTATGAATGAGTCAAGTTCTTACTAAACCCAAATCATGACCAAAGTAACCAAAAATTTAAAACCTAAAAAACCATTCCCACCACCTAAATATTTTAATATATCTTTTACAAATATTCGCGGTCTACGAAGCACTTTTCCATCAGTTGAGTCTTACCTCCTGCAAAATTCACCAGACTTGCTTGCACTCAGTGAAACAAATTTAAGTTCTGCAATTCCTTCTTCAGATGTCAGTGTTGATGGGTACTATCCTTTGATTCGTAAAGACTCAAATAGTCACATGCTAGGTTTAGGGGTATACATACGCATTAATTCCCCTATTTGTCGTGGAATCAGGTTCGAATCCTTTAACCATTCCTTTATGTGCTTTCGCCTAGTACCTCTTCACTCTATCACCTTTCTCTTTGTTCTTCATCGTTCTCCTTCTTCCCATGATTGCACTCTCTTAGATGTTATCTCTGATCAAATTGATCATGCTCTCTCTCTTTACCCCTCTGCCAATATTGTTGTTGTTGGTGATTTTAATGCCCATCACACTGAATGGCTTGGCTCTAACACCACTGATCCTGCTGGCACTAAAGCATTTAACTTCTGCGTTTCTCAATCTCTTACTCAGATAGTTAACTTTGTGACTCATTTTCCTGACAACCCTAATCATTTACCTTCACTCCTTGACTTATGTCTTGTGTCTGACCCTAGCTTATGTTTAGTTTCTCCCTTTTCTCCCTTAGGTGGTTCTGACCATGCAATGATCTCTATAAATCTTTCTTCTCGTACTTCTTTTTTGGGCTCACCTTATCATTGCACCACCTACTACTACCCTAAAGCTGACTGGGATTGCTTTCGTGATTTTCTTCGTGATGGCCCTTGGGCTGATGTTTTTTCTCTCTCAGCTGACAAATGCGCCTCCTACGTAACCTCCTGGATTCAGGCTGGAATGGAAGCTTTTATTCCTTCGGTTTCAAGTCAAGCCTCATTCTACTCCATGGTTTTCTCCTTCTTGTGCGGCTGCTATATTTAATCGTAATCATTTTTTTCATCTTTTTCAAAAGAACAACTCTCTTGAGAACAAACGGCTATTTATTATTGCCAGAAATCGATGTAAAAAGGTGCTTTCTGATGCTAAACTCCATTATTCTCAGTTCACTAAATCTCGCATCTTATCGCAGAAGTTAGGCTCTAAAGACTTTTAGAAAATCTTCAACAGCATTATTAACAAGGGTAGATCTAACATTCCATCTCTTATTCATAGAACTGATCTTTTTACCTCTCCCAAGGATAAGGCAGAACTATTTGCAAAGAACTTTTCTTCTAATTCCACTCTTGAATCTTATGGACATTCTCTTCCTTCCATTCCAGTCAAACAGGTTGACCCATTGTTAGACATTCAAATCACTCCGGCTTCTGTTGCTAAAGTCATATCTCATTTAAACTCGTCTACAGCTTGTGGTCCAGACAACATTCCTGTCACAGTCTTGCAGAATTGTTCTCCAGCACTTTCTTGGAAAATGGCATCTGTGGTTCCAATATTCAAAAACTCTGGAGAAAATTCTGACCCCTCCAATTATCGTCCGATCAGTCAGCAAGGCCTTTGAGTCTTTGATCAACAAATTCCTCACATCTCATCTTGAGTCAAATAAACTACTGTCAGACAATCAATACGATTTTCGATCCTCTCGCTCTAGGGCTGACTTACTAACTGCTGTAATTGAAAGATTTTATCGTGATGATGATAAAATCTTTCAGTTAGAGGGAGGCGGTGAGGCTAGGGCTATAGCTCTCGACATCTCTAAAGCTTTCGATAAAGTTTGGCATGCTGGTCTTCTCCATAAGCTTGCTTCATATGGTGTTTCTGGGAAAGTTTTTGAGATTATCAAATCATTTCTTTCTAACCGGTTTATTAAAGTCATCCTTGAAGGCCCATACTTTTCTTTATTTCCAGTAACTTCAGGGGTTCCCCAAGGTTCCATCCTGGGCCCTGTTTTGTTTCTTATCTACATAAACGATCTTCCTGACAACCTTTCATCTAAAGTAGCTCTTTTTGCTCAACTTTATACTCCTGTCTTGACAAAAAGTCTTCTCTTTTCGATCGCCTAGAACAAGCAGCTGATCTTGAATCCAATCTCACTTCAGTAATAGATTGGGGTTTACAGTGGCTTGTGAATTTCAACTCTAAAAAAACCCAGTTGCTTACTGCAAACAACTACTGTAATATGGTCAACATTCTTATATTAATGAATGGCAATCCTCTTACTGAGTCGTCCGCTTTATGTCTTCTTGGATTATCGCTTACTACTGACCTTTCATGGAAACCATATATACAATCGATTGCTAAATTAGCTTCTGCTAAGGTTGCTTCTCTTTATCGTGCTCGCCATTTCCTTACTTCTGATTCCGTTCTCTACCTCTACAAATCTCTTATTCGTCCCTGTATGGAATACTGTTGTCATATTTGGGCTGGTTCTTCTAACAATTCACTTTCTCTTCTTGACAAGGTCCAAAAACGCATTGTAAATGTTGTTGGACCTGGACTATCTGCTAAGCTAGAACCTCTTTCCCATCGTCGTAAAGTTTCATCTCTTTCTCTTTTCTACAGATACTATCATGGTCACTGCTCAAAGGAGTTATCATCTCTAGTTCCATCAACTAAAATTCATTCTCGTTTTACTCGTCATTCAGCTAAGTCTCATTCGTTTACTGTATCTGTCCCTGCATGCTCTAAAAACTTTTATTCATCTAGTTTTTTTCCCCGCACTTCAATCCTTTGGAACTCTCTCCCATCTTCATGTTTTCCTGACTCATACAACCTTCAACTTTACAAGTATTCTGTCAACCGTTTCCTTGCTCTATAACTCTGTTCTTTTTTTTCCTAGTTACTCCCAACTTTTTAGTGGTTGCTTGCTGCCTTGTTGGGAGTGAATGCAAATAAAAAAAAAAAAACTGCTTTAAAAACGAAAGCGAAATGACATTGAACCTTGAACATTGAATTTTTTCAGTATTAATATTTAGATTATTTATAGTAATAGCAAAAAATCAAAATTAAAATTAAATTAAAAAAAGAAAAAAATTAATGATAAATATTTTTATTGAGAAAAACTTTCTAAAGTAATTTCTTAAATGGTTCATTGCTTTTGTTACTATGTTTTGCTATTGATACTATTGTTAAAGGTCCATCATCCAAGACTAATATTACATTGCCCTATGATGGTTTGATTTTTTTATTTTTTATTTTCAATAAATTTATTAATATAAACTTTGCTTCTTTTGTTATTTTTTTAAATTGTTTAAGTTAGTTATAAAATATATTTCAATTTTCTTCAGATATATGAGGGTTATATTGTTGATGATATACCACTAGAGATAAATTTTAAAAGTTGATTGTTTTAAAAGGTTTTTATTTATTTTTCTAATTTTATAGGTTGCTTATAGTGGTTTTAAACCTTATAATTTATCTTTTGAACACAATGAAAAAATAGTTGTGAACTCTACTCAAGTATTAATTTCATCACTTTATCCTGGTACAAATTACACAATTTCTGTAAATGCAGAGACTATTGTTAAAGGTCCATCATCCAAGATTAATATTACATTGCCCTATGATGGTTTGATTTTTTTATTTTTTATTTTCATGGATTTTCTTTATATTTCCTTTGATGTTTTTTTTTATTTTTGTTGATTCTTTTTATATATGTTTTTATATATGCAAAAAGAAAGTTAAATTAAAAAAATATTTTATAATTATAAATTAACATAATAAATAATTGTATATATATATAATTTTAGCAATCAAATATAGAAAATTTTTAAAATTATAATTGTAATCGAGTTATGAAATGATTAAAAAATTTATTGTTAAAATTTATGATTTAAATTAATATATTAATTAAAAATTAATGTTAATAAATTAGGTTTTTTAGTTAAATTTAAAATTTATTATAGCTTTAAAGTTAACATCTTGTTTTAATGTTTTTTGAAATTCTTAATAAATTAGATAGATATATCTTTTGAATAAATATATTTTTATTTATGTATATTAAGTTAAAGCAAGTTTTTGTTGTATTTGGCATATCTAGTTATAAAAACATTCAGAACTAAACAAATATAAAAATTTAAATATATATATTTTTTTTAAGAGCCGTTCGCTCCTATACTATTAAAACTTGAAAATCAGATTTCAGAACAAACAACCATTGTTTTACATTCAGTACCAAGTTTTACTGGGCCAATCAGGTAAGATTTTTTCTGATATTGTTTGTTTTGAATTTTTTTTTTTAATGTAAATGACTTTTGATTAACAATTATGTTGGCTAGAGCTTTAATTAAATTTTCTGAAAAAAATAAATTCTTTTTTTTTAATTTAAATTAAGTATTATTGATTAAACCTTGCATTTTGTTTAGTATATAGTAATTAGTTTTTAAATAGATTTATACTTAGGAATTTGTATTTCTATATTGAAAGTTATGAAAATCACTAAGAGTTAGTTCATATTAATACAAATTTTAAACAGTATTACTTACACTATTGTTTTTAAAATATGAAGCAGTATTCTAAAACCTTAATAATTATAAAATTTATAATAAATTAATAATAAAAAATTTATTAAATTGATAAATAGATTGTTAGTTTCACTTTTTACTTTGCTTTACCTTCATTCTATTTTAATAAAAATTGAAAATATATTTTTAAAATAAATGTAAAATAAATAAGGTTAGATATGATTAATAAATTAAACCTTAACTTAATCCAAAGTAATCTTTGCATTTTGTAAATTTGACCTGTCAAACCTGAAGTAAAGCTAATATATTTTGTGTAATTCTTTTTGTAGTTCTTCTCTACATATTTTTGATAAGTCAAGCATCAAGCTTAATACCAATGCTTTGACTTACATATGATATGATTACATACATGTATGATATGATTGACTGCACTTAAACACAGTTGACCTCACACCACATATATATATATATACATATATATATATATATACATATATATATATATATACATATATATATATATATATATATATATATATATATATATATTATATATATATATATATATGTATATATATATATATATATATATATATATATATATATATATATATATATATATATATATATATATATATATATATATATATATATATGTTCCATGCTCAATTTATGTCCAAAAATGATTGAGCTTGCTGTAGAGATACCTTTAATATTGTGCTCAACTGCCTGAGAGTGACAGAGTATACCAAAAATGTAATTAAACTGACCGTATTTAAGTTTTTCACTCTCAATAGCTGCTAGCAATGGTAGTGGTGTGAGGTCAACTGTGTTTAAGTGCAGTATATATATGTATATATATAAGGTATATGACAAAAAAACTTTTTTCAAAATTTTAATTTTCCTGATGTTGCATTTGATGAACTTTTACCAATAGATCACTGTTTTGAGGTTTATTTCATTGGAACACAAAAAAACCTTCCGCACCTAGCACCTCACCACTTTTAACTTTTTCGATTTTTCACTTGATTTTGTTCCCAGTTCTTACTTCCTTATGCTTGACTATGCTTGAATATAACTACAAGTTGGAGAGCGTCAAACAGTTTAAAAAGTTAATTAACATAGAATGAAAAAGTTCAATAGTTTTAAATTGTTTATATGTGGTGTAACTCAATTTTGAATAACAAGTTTTAACGACTGTTTTTCAAATTAATGCGTGTTTGTTGTTGAGTATTTTTTAATGTTTGTGCAATTAAAATATTGAGTAGAAGTATTTAAAAAGTTTTTTCATTATTTGCAGTATTAGTTTGCAAGATCTGCAATAGTGAGGATTCTGAGGAAGGAAGCAGCAGTGGTGACTCGGAGGCAGTTTCTGGAGAATCTCGCAGAAAGCGTGCAACGCGCCAGTCAACTAAGTCTGCTGCCAAACTAGTGTCTAGTCTCTCTTTGTCAACCAGAAAAACGTCACTGGTGCTTCAAAGTCTGGCTGAGGATGGATTTTGTGTCCCAACACCATCACAGTCTGGAGTCTGGCGTCAAACAATCAGAGATGCAGAACAAGTTAAGAACCGCCTCATGGAACTGATCTCTGAAGAGAAATTTTCTTTGCATTTTGATGGTAAGAAAGTTGACAAGAATGAGTACCAAGTTGTGTGCTTAAAAAATGACAAAAGAACATTACAACTTGGCATTTTGGTTTGTGACAGTGGATCATCTGCAAGCATATATAAACCACTACAGGACCTACTTGATGATTACAATGCGTGGAACAGTATTCAGATGATCATCTCTAACACAACAGCTGTAAATACTGGTCGCAAGAATGGAGTTGTAGCCAAGCTTTAGAAAACATTTCGAGACAAGGGATTTGATGAACCTCAATACATCAGCTGCCAACACCACATTCTTGATCTTGTTCTACGACATGTGTTGGATTTCTTTTTTCCTATACAGTCACAGTCGCCTAACATTAACTACAAATTTATTGATGAGATTATGGAGCATTACGATGATTTACAAAATGCCTACAAGGGCACAGCAGTGGTAGCAGAGTATGAGAACTTTGGTCGGAGAGATGACTTTAAGTTTCTTTTTCAGCTTTTTGAAGCATACAAGTTTTACAAAAATGAAGAAAAATGGCCTCGTATCAAATGGCACAAGCTGCCATCACTGCACAGTGCCAGGTGGAACTCAAGAGGCATTTTTGCGCTTATTGCATTTTTCATTATTCCAAACTGGCGAGAACAGCTGAGGATAACTTGTGATTTCGTTGCAACTACATGGTCGCGGGCCTGGTTTACAAACCAGCACTATGCAGCGGCGGCTTATGAAGACCTGCTGTCAGCAATATCCTAACTTAAGTGTTCCAAAGCTGTGAAATGCTTGAAGGAACCATCAGTGCTTGGAAAGAAGGAACCATCAGTGCTTGATGTGCCTCGAACCAATATAGTAGCCGTGAAAACTGTAAAGTTGATGGAGGATATTCATTCTTCTTGCCGAACAAACAAATATCTTAACTGTAAATTTATTAATACTAATACACAAATCTGAAAGATTATTAACATCACTACAAATGTTGTAGGACAGTGTATTTCTCATGTATTTCTCATGTGTATTGTATATAAAGTTGACATATTATAATTAATAGCCTTTAAGCTGCTATGTGTTGTATGGTTTAATATGAAACTGTCTTAGGTGTGGGAAGTTTTTTCAAGGTATGGTGAAATCAATGTCGTTTCTGTGATTTATAGGCAAAAGTTCATCATTTAGAACCCCAGTCTAATTGATTTAAAATTTATCATATACCTAATATATATATATATATATATATATATATATATATATATATATATATATATATATATATATATATATATATATATATATATATATATATATATATATATATATATATATACACACACACACACACACACACACACTGAGTGTTTATAATAATTTGGGTAAATATTTAGTATACTGATTAATTGAAAAAATGTTTGAAAATTTCTTCTGTGGACTAGCATTTGTATCACAAAATAGAAAATCAATTATTACTTTAAAAAAGTGTAGCTGAAAAATACCCAGATCCAGAAAAATTCTTCTGTTGAGTCTTGCAAAGTTTATCAGCACTACTTCGCTCTATCGCCTTTCTCTTTGTTCTATATTGCTCTCCTTCATCTCAAGACTGCTCTCTTTTTGATGTTATTTCCAGTCAAATTGACCGAGCCCTTTCTCTTTTTCCTTCAATACCAATACTTTTGTTGTTTATGACTTTGATGCTCATTACACTGAATGTTTCGGCTGTAGTGTCAGTGACTTTGCAGGTGTTAAGGCCCACAACTTTTGCCTTTCTCAATCTCTAACACAAATTAACTTTTCAACTCGCTTTCCAGACAATCCAAATCATTTACCTTCTCTATTCGACTTATATCATGTTTCTGATCCTAGGCAGTACTCAGATTTTTTCACCTCACCTAAAGACAAAATTGTTTGCTAAAAACTTTTCATTAATCTTATCTCTTGATTTTACTAATCACATTTTACCTGATATAGCTGACAAACAGGTTGATCCATTGCTTGATGTTCATATCACTCCAGCTTCTGTATCTAAAGTGATTTCCTGCTTAGACTTCTTTACAGCTTGAGGTTTAGACAAAATACCTGTTATAGTCCCAGAAGTCTTCTCCAGAGCTGTAGTCTATACTTTCAAAACTATTTAACAAATGCTTATCAAAGTCTTGCTTTCCAGTCTGCTGGAAAGCAGCATCTCTTATCCCTATTTTCAAAAATTCTGGAGAGCAATCTGACTTGTCTAACTACCCATTAGTCTTCTTACTACCATAAGCATGGTTTTTGTCTTTAATTAAGAAACACTTAACCTCATATCTTGAATCTAATAACTTTTTTTCTGATCTTCAATATGGATTTAGATGTTCTTGTTCTACTGCTATTTTGTTGATGGTAATAACTGGTAGGTTTTATTGTGCATTGGATAGATGTGGAGAGGTTATTACTCTCGACATTTCTAAAGTTTTGGCTTTGACTTGGATAAATTTTGGTATGCTGGTCTTCTTGATAAGCTTTTTTATTACGGTATATCCAGGCTTGGACAGGAATGGCGTGCGATAGCACTCTGTAACTGGCCATGCTAATTACTTTTTTTCTTTACAACTTGACCACAGCTATTTTGATGTTTTGACATTTTAAATCCAATAAAAAGTGTTACCTTTTAATTGTTGATCTTTCCTAAAGTTTCTATTTTGCGCGAAGGCTTTAAAATTAAACCATATAATTTATTATTTTAATGATTGTTTACATAGACACGTGTGTAAATTAATAAAAAATGTTATATTTAATTTTTTTTATGTAGGCATGATAAATTTTTCATGATAAATTTAAACGTTTGAAATTTTCCCATGTCTTACTAAAAATCTTTTAAAGCATTTTGAAATGATTTTTTTTTTAAATTATTTTAATTTATGTATAATTTCAAAACTATTTGTGACTACTAGCTTTTACACATTTTATGTGAATTATACAAGAATATAAAATAATAATAAGTCATAGGAATAAGTCATAAGCAGCATGCTTTCATGGTCAATAGTATAATCACTAAACCAGGTGGAAATACAGCTGAATTTAAATGTTTAACCTCTACAGCATTACGAGCAGCAGATAATGTCATTCATGATGAATCAAAAAGGATCAAGGATTTTTTTAGAAATTTTAGA